ACGATTTCATAAGAAAAAATAACAAATTTTTTTTTTTAAATTCTTGGACACTGGTTCGTGACTCCTGATTATGGGCACTGACCTGAAAGGGTTAATATAATTATAGATAGGTTGTAAAAGAAGTAAATGCTAGGTTGTTGGGGATAATAGGTAGGAATTAAATTATTGTGAAATCACATACAAAATGGGAATTGATCGTTACTTTTTGCTGATGATACTGTGCTTATGGGAGATTCAAAAGAAAAGTTGCAAGTAAGTGGACAGTTTTGGAGTGTGTGTAAAGGTAGAATGTTAAAAGTGAACATAGATAAGAAAAAGGTGATGAGGGAATCAAATGATGTAGATAAAGAAAAATTGTGATTATAATAATGGGAGAGAGAGTATGGAAGAAGTGAATGTTTTTCAGTACTTGGGAGATGACGTGTCAGCAGGTGAGTTTATGAAGCATGAGTTAACAAGAATTGATGAAGCAAAAAAGGTAAGTGGTTTTTTCTTTCTTTTAGTATCTGAGGAGCACCAAAAAACGTTATCTATGGAGGCAAAGAAGGTGAATATATGAAGTACAAGTTATACCAGACTCTCTCATAGGGGTGTGAAGCTTGGGTTGTAAATGTTGTAGCGAGGAGTTGGTGGAGACAGAGGATATGTCTAAGGGTAATGTGTGGTGTAAATATTATGCAGAAAAAATCGCAGAGTGGAAATTATGAATGTGGAGCTATAAAGGTAGTAGTCAGAGGGCTGAAGAGGATTGTTGAGGGGTTTAGTCATTTAAAAGAGAATGGAGCAAAGTAGAATGACACGGAGAGTGAATGAAATATGTAGGGGAAGGAAGGCGTGGTAGGGAACGTCATCGAAAATATTGAGGGAGGGGTAAAGGAGGTTTTGTGGGTGCGGGGCTTGGACTTCCAGCAAGCAAGTTGAGCATGATAGATAGGATTGAATGGAGACGATGGTTTTGAGGACCAGACGATCTGTTGGAGTGTGCGCAGTGTAGATTTAGTGAAGGGATCAGGAAACCATTATTTTTTATATAGCCCACATGCGTACTGGAAATGGGACGTACAATGCCTGCACTTTTACCCATTGACTGTCGCAACCCCTTTTCTGGAAACTGTCATTCTATGTCTCCAAATTTTTTGAAAAAAAAAAAAATCTTATGAAAAGACAGAATCTTTTCCCCAATGGTAATAACACCAAAAATACGAAATTTGGTCGAAAACTCATGAATTAAGCTTCGGCAAAAGTTAGCGGTCTCCGGCGACATATACGCATAAGCAATTTCGTCGATCCTTTGAGCCTGTTTTTGGACCATTCTGTTGTTCTAGTTGCCCAACCTCATAGCTATATTCTTTAGAGACTAACTCCAATTTTTTCTATCAGTTGAGTACAAGAAACCGCCCATTTACGATTTGAACTACCCAATAAAGTTGGTGAGAAAATTGGCATTTTGGCCAATTCATGCAAAATTAAAAAAGAGTGCCAATTTCAAAATAGGTTCCAGAATAAACAAGTAGACATTCTTGGCACTAAAAAAACATATCCTCTGGTTTATTAGTTACATCTCTAGGCCCCTCATCTATTCTATTGCTTTCTATTTTTGATTTTTTATTCATAACAAAAAAATACAAAATTTACAGTATGACAGACTACTGCATTATTGTAAAAATGGTATAAATAGTAACAGTGTCCACTAGTGAAAGATATTAGACTCCCAGTTTACGAGTATTGGACGTGTGGGTGTGATTTGCTACTCCTGAACTTAGTAAAACATCGAACATTTCCGCTACTTTGAGCTCAATTTCAAGGTCGTTTTCATCATGAAACTAATCAAAATCATCCTCTAATTCTGTAATATGTTTTCCATTTTATCACGTGAACCATGAAAATGAGAATACACAATAAATACTATAAAAAAATACAACCTCAAAGTCCGTTTTAAAATCCCAAAAAAAACGGTCAGTTTAATTTTCTTATTACACACTGCGTGCTGCATATTTTTTTTATATGGAGCACACAGACCCATTCTCTCACAATGTGGGCCCTACCAGCTTTTCCTCACCCGCTAATTTGAAGCCGCTAGAATTTATGCGAATAAATACGTCTGAAACAGTGGCTTCAGACAGTATATACACTACGGATAACAGTCCAAAGGGTTAAAGGAGGGGGATTGGGATATGCAGTTTTGCAGGGGTATGATAAAATCATTAAATATGCATCAAAATTGTCGTATCTGGGCAACCTCTGCAAAAACTGAATTATGGGTGAGAGAGGTAAAATTGTTTGAATGACGTAAGTATTTTCTTTTGGGGATTTTTTTCTAGTTTTTTTTTCTAGTTTCTATCTTAATTTTTTGTGACAAAATTATATAGATAACCTCAGTTGAAGATAGTTGGGAAAGGTACAGAAAGCCAGGAATAGGAACCAATTGTGCTACTGAGTTTCAGCCGCTTCTGGTCTGAAACTAACCAAAATCCTTCTCCAGTTCACTTGTATGTCTTTAGTTCTATCATTATATGCCAATAAGACATGAAAAGTACCATAAAAAGGCCCCAGAGATTTCTATATTAAAAACCCAAACACATATTTTCAGAGATAACTATGCCCACATTAATGCATTAGGGCAGGATATTTTTTCTTGAAGAGCAAAAATGCACAAACCGTGATTGGACAAGTACACAAATAACCTGCACATAGTGTGGCTTGTAACTGGTCCAAGATCAAACCTAATTGTCCGTTGTAAGCTTCTCTCTTATGTTGAGTTACAGTGGACCCCCTCAATAAACGATCACCTCCAAATGCGACCAATTATGTAATGCGTTTGAAAGCGTGGATGTTTGTGGTTCTGAAATGGACTAACTACTTCACACTATTTTCCTTATGGAACAATTCGGTCAGTACTGGCACCTGAACATACTTTTTCTGGAGTGAAAAAATATCGTTAACACCGGGGGTCCACTGTATTGTGTAATTTTTTTTCATATCTTGCACACCCACCATTCTCTCACAACTAGGCCAAAATATTGCTGCGTTACAAGGAATTTAAGGGTGTGTAAATTATGTGCAGATCTGAATACGTGACTAGGGATGTACCCAGGAGTATTGATATTAGTACCTGCTGATTTATGATGGTAATGGTATCGCCCTAAAATGGAGAATAGGTATAGGTATTGTCAAAAATTTGGTAGTGTCCCATCCCTACTGATGATGTAGACTATGTGACCAACATTGAAAAGGTTCAGTGTAAATTAACCCTTTGACTGTTTTGGTCGTATATAACGTCTTACGTGCCACTGTTTTTGGAAGTATTTATACCGTAAATTCTAGCGGCTTCAAATCAAGCAGGAGAAAGCGGTAGGCCCACATGTGAGAGAATGGGGCTGTGTGGTCATGTGCACCACATAAAAAAAAAACCCTAGCACGCAGTGCATAATGAGGAAAAAAAAACTGACCGTTTTTTTGGATTAAAACGCCTACTTTGAGGTTATTTTCGTATAGTATTTATTGTTGTATTCTCGTTTTTCATGGTCTTACGTGATAAAATGGAAAACATATTACAGAAATACAGATGATTAGTTTCACGATGGAAAACGACCTTGAAATTGAGCTCAAATTAGGAAATGTTTGATTTTAAATAATGTTCAGGAGTAAGCAAATCACACCACACGTCCAATACAACATCAACTGGGAGTCTAATATTTTTCACTAGTGCACTAATATTATTTTTACCAATTTTTAGAATAATGCAGTATCTGCATAACAGTAAATTTTGTAATTTTTTTGTATGAATAAAAATCAAAATAAAAGCAATAGTAATATAAGAGAGACCTAGAGACATGACTAATGAACAGAGGATATGTTATTTTAGTGCCAAGAATGTCTACATTGTTTATTCTGGACCCTATTTTGAAATTGGCATCTTTATTAATTTGCATGAAATTGGCCAAATTGCCAATTTCTCACTTTATTGGGTAGTTCAAATTGGTAAATGGACGGTTTCTTGTACTCAACTGATAGAAAAAATGGAGTTCTAAAGAAATAGCTATGAGGTTGGTCAACTGGAAGAACAGAATTGGCCAAACAGGGCTCAAAGTCGATGAAATCGCTTAAAGGTATATGTCGCCGAGACCGCTAACTTCGCCGAAGCATAATTCCATGAGTTTTCGACCAAATTTCGTACTTTTGGTGTTATTACCATTGGGAAAAGATTCTGTCTTTCATAAGAAATTTTTTTTTTTCCAAAAATTTTGCGACATAGAATGACAGTTTCAGAAAGGGGCTTGCGACAGTCAAAGGGTAAAAGTGCAGGCATTGAACCTCCCATTTCCAGTACTCAAGTCGGGCTATATAAAAATAACTGGTTTCCCTGAATCCTTTCACTAAATATTACCCTGCTCACACCCCAGTAGCTCGTCAGGTCCCAAAAACCATTCGTCTCCATTCACTCCTATCTAACATGCTCACACATGCTTTCTGGAAGTCCAAGCCCCTCACCCACAAAACCTCCTTTACCCCCTCCCTCCAATCTTTTTGAGGATGACCCCTACCACGCCTTCCTTCCCCTACATATTCATACACTTTATTGGGTAGTTCAAATCAGTAAATGGGTGGTTTCTTGTACTCAACTGATAGAACAATGGAGTTCTAAAGAAATAGCTATGAGTTTGGTCAACTGGAACAACGGAATTAGCCAAAAACAGGGCTCAAAGTCGGCAAAATCACCGATGCGTATATGTCGCAGGGATCGCCAACTTCGCCAAAGCATAATTCTGTGAGTTTTAGACCAAATTTCGCACTTTTGGTGTTATTACCAAGGGGAAAAGATTCTCTGTCATTTCATAAGAAATTTTTGTTTTTTTTCCCCAAAAAAATTTTGCGACATAGAATGACAGTTTCAGAAAGAGGCTGGCGACAGTCAAAGGGTTAAGCATGATGCTAAGGCACATTTGCTACTAGTGACTGCTTTTTGTAGATTTTAAGAACTAATTTGCAATAAGCTTCCTTACCCCCCCCCCATAAAACAGTGTTGTAGAATCATTTATTTTCCATGAACTTGACTCCATGTTATCGTACCAAACAGGGTGCAATAAATGACCAAGGCCTTGGCATGGTGTCGTGGTGGACAAGTGGCGGTGCAGGACAGGATCTGGAGGAGGAGGAAGAGGAAGATGGCGAGGTAGAGGAACTGGAAGAGGCTGCATGACCTTGGTAGAAGACTAATAACGGACAATTTTTTTTAGAACTAAGCATCATGCTTATGTTGTAAGTTGCTTTTCAGGGTTGATATTTTATCTTAATTTTATTTGCTGTCACCTTAGAAATTAAGTTTTCACTGCAGAGTAAAATGACCTCAACTGTTGAAGAGTTATGCAAAAGTAGAAATATTTAATCAATGGTAGCTAAAAATGTTTTTGAAATTGTTAGGTTATTTCACTGACCACTTATACATGGCCATATAACTTTATTTTCAGTATTAAAGTGTTCGCATTTTAAAGTCTGAAGTGCTGTTATTCTCTAATGATCATTTTCCTTTATTTTTTCTTTATATATTGACAGTAAAGTGTGATAACTGAACCTATTAGAACCATGAAGCTTGACATATTTACCTGTGAAAGTATCTATGTAGATTTTGCTATATATGCCAACTGCTCAGTGCCTGCGGCTGATGAAGACTTTGTATAATAATTCAGTCAATATGTAGAAAATTTCTCTGAATAGTATATTAGAAAATTTCTTGTAATAGTGTATTAAGTCTTAACTAAAATGTTGCACATTGAATTTGCTATTCCTTGATCTGTATATAATTATTATTCATACAACATATACCCCATAAGGGGGTTCCTTGATGCCAATAAAGGGCTCTTGATGCAAGGAATTTGATCTATTCTTCCCTTCCTTGGATCAAACCTGATTGCCTCCCATTCCCTCAGACACTGTGAGTCATACTAGTTAAGCTCTTCCCCTAAATATAACAATAATAATAATAATTTACAGGTATATTGTTATTGGTAAATAAAAATTTGTTCAGTAAAAGTAAACTTGCAGGTGCCTTGTCTCATCTTTGTTAATTTTCTTTGGCATGACTTGATCTATTATGTGGTGGTAGCCTACAGGATCTTCTCAACTAGCAAATTAATCATAGCTACCTGTTCTTTAATAAACTTTGTCCTATTCTTTAAACTGTGCTATCAGTATAATGAAAATCTTTTAGTGGAGATGTTCTTCGCAGAGCTGAGCTCTTGTCTTAAAATTTTAAAATTAGTGGCTGGTGTTAGTCTTATTGTTTTCAGTCATGCCGACTTCCAGTACTCAGTCAGGAGTGGTGTAGTGTTCTCTCATGACCACTTTCAGTACTAAAAATTAGTGTAGTTTTCTTTCTGAGTTTGCTGCTAAGTTGGTTATCAGAGCTAAAAGAAGCATTCAGTAGGTTAGCCCTACCAGAGTTACAAAATGCAGCTTGGTTTAAGCTAAGGGTCAAGCTATATATCCTTGTCCCATGATATTACTGTGCTGCCAGATATTTTGTCATGGTGTAGGCAGATGAAGACAGACATTTCAGTTTGTTTAGGTATCCCTGAAGGGATACCTCTAAGAGGTTGCCTGAGTTCTTTTCTTTTTCTTCTTCCTCCAGCTGTTCAATTTTATTTCTTTCATAACTTGAAAATGCCTCATCCTAGCACCTTCAAATTTTCAATAATTGTGTACTGTAACAGGGATCAAATTTTTGAAACATGTGCCCTATGACCAGAATTGTTGAACTCATTCTCAGTATCCTGGAATGGCTCAGATTACTTCCAAAACCCTCAGTGGTGTAGCTTCCAACATTCAAAAAGGTACCCCCCCAAAAAAAAAAACTGGTCAAATTACCAACTTTGTATTTTAGGGAGCAGTTTTGATACTTGAATGGGTAGTTTCTTTGTTCTATCAGTAGAATGGAAGGCATACTAGCAAAGTAGCTAAGAATTTGGTTGAATTGGTTTAAAAGAAGACTCAGTGAAATCACCAATGCATAAATTTCACCCAGATTGCTAACTTTGTACAATTCAGAATTTTTTTCTTTAAATGTAAGTACTTAACCCTTTCACTGTGCAGAGCCCTTAAATTGAAAGTGCTCAGTGTCCTGATTTAAAAAAAATTGTTCTGTGGTAGAGTCTTTTTCTGAAGGTAGTGACACAAAAAATACAAAATATGAAAAACTTGTGGAATTATACAGGCATAAAATTAATGGTATGCATGAAATTTATGCAACAGTGATTTCACTAACTTTGAGTCCTATTTTATACCAATTAATTGGTTGAATTGAATAATTACATTGCTCACTTCAACTAAATTCTTAGCTATTTCACTCTTCTATTAGTTGAGCACAGGAATCTGCCCATTCAACTATCAGAAGTACCCTACAAAGTGCACAGAATTTGTAATTTTGGCAAAATTTACACAAAATTAAAAAAAAAAATTCAGTTTAAAAGCAGTCCAAAATAAACACTGTATGCATTCCAGGCACTAAGATAACATTTCCTTTGTTCTTTAACCATGTCTCCAGGCCTCTCCTGTTTTACACTTGCCTTCCATTTTGAGCTGATCATCACAAAAAAGTTGAAGATTTACCCTATTTCTCGGATGACGAAATATAACCAGGAATCACTGGTCATGGTTTATGGTGTCCCAATAATTGAATTAGACCTAGTAAAAACCTATGAAACAGACTTATTTGATGTAGGGGGGGCTTTACCTGTCCTAAGGAAAATAAGTAAAAATCAAATATTCCACTATTTTGAGGCCGATTTCAAGCTACTTATCTCTATTTCAGTATCATGACTTGATTCTATCAAATGATACCATGAAATGGCCAATTAAACGATAAAAACTATCCTTTAAAACACCTCGGTTGCTATTTTAAACCAAACACAGTTTTGCCTTTTCTCATCGTGCACCATGTGAGGCAGGATTTTTTTTTTTTTTGTACTGTGCAAACTCGTTGCATAGGTGCATTCTCTCATATCTAGGCCAAAATTTATCGCTTGCATCTTATCTGAGCGAGCTGAGCCCATGAAATAGATCTACATGATGGACCCTGGTGTTTATTTCAGGGCTTTGGACAGTGAAGGGGTTAAGCTGGTCACTGTTACTTACAGAAAAGTTTGGATTAATCTTTGCCTGCATAGGTTCCAGTTTGCTTGTTTTGGAATAAATTTGGAAAATTTAAGTACTGCTTGTCATGCGATAATTTTTGAGTGTTGCATCCAATTAGCTTTGAGCTTTAATGTGCCTGTATATTTTAGGATATTGATCTCTTTGGTCCCTCTGAAAGATGTGAATTGGATTTGGTCTGTGTATGTCCCAGTTTACCATTTTCATTGAAATTTAGATATTAGTTTCCAAATGATGACCTGTGAATGCCTTATCTTATTACCTTCAAGTTTTCAATACTAATATTTAACTGCATTATCAATTTATGCCACACTGTATTATTCCAGTTGCATGCATTGAGGTACAGGGGACTGGAGTTATGGAATATGGAGATGCCTTCCTTTAGCTACTGTAGATTATCTTGTGATGGCAGTTTCCATGAAGGCGAGTGCCAGGGCTCTGTTGCTTTGCCTGCAGTCTGGATAGAGAAATGTTACTCCCAACTTGCCTGGAAAAAAATAATTGCTTGTGACTAGAAAGAATTAGTTTTTTTATGTTGGCTCTGTACATAGTTTGGGGAAACAAATCTTGCACTGTCTTCATATGATGAAGGCTGCTGTTATTTTTCCAGGTAGATAGATCCTTTATTTCTTGTTAGATGTCAGCCACTGTAAAAAACAGTGGACTCCAGTGAATTTTCAGATTTTTTCTTAGACCCTAACTAATAATTGTTCATGGAAATCCCTGCAAATTCGCAGAATTTTGGGGGGACTTTTTTCATGGCAATATATAATTTTTTATGCGTTTTAAAATATAAATTAATAATTTTGTAACAAAATATTAACGTAAATTCAGTAAAATTTAGTATGTACTGTTTAAATATTTTTTAGTGCTGTAGAGAGAACACAAAGTGACCGTAGAGGAAAACGCGGCTTGGGATGATGAAATGCCCCTGTACCAGTCCGAGAGGGTTATTCATTTCTCCTTGCTGCTGATTGGCTGCTGGCCTGTGACGTATATCCGGCAGACGAGGCAAAGCATTCGTGCATCATAATTGTTTACCGCACATAGCTATCTCGAGTGTTTGTCCGACTGTTCTTGCATTTTTTGTTTTGTACTTGTTTAAGCCCTAAGATGCAGCCCAAACGCCCCGCACTTCTAAGGCTTCTGGCAATGAACCTAAGTGCCAGAGGAAGTTTAAGACACTCCAGGAGAAGGTTGAACTTCTGGATTTGCTCTGGGAAAAGAAAAGCTATGTCTCAGTAGTGTGCCATTATGGCTTAAACAAGAGCTTTGCTTTGCTGTGCAGTCATTGCCTCCATCGTACTGCACAGCTAATTCATCATCATCAGTCGGTATCATTCATTATTGGTGAGTGCCCGTACATTTCACTTTAATTTTACTAAATTAAATTACAGTATTACCGTATATTTATTGTACGTATACCAAAGAAAATGGAGTTGCGTGAATTACAGTACATATGGGGGTAACATTGATATTTAACATTATAGTACTGCAAGAGACATAGGCTTGGACTTCCAGCAGGCATGCGTGAGCGTGTTTGATAGGAGTGAATGGAGACAAATGGTTTTTAATACTTGACGTGCTGTTGGAGTGTGAGCAAAGTAACATTTATGAAGGGGTTCAGGGAAACCGGCAGGCCGGACTTGAGTCCTGGAGATGGGAAGTACAGTGCCTGCACTCTGAAGGAGGGGTGTTAATGTTGCAGTTTAAAAACTGTAGTGTAAAGCACCCTTCTGGCAAGACAGTGATGGAGTGAATGATGGTGAAAGTTTTTCTTTTTCGGGGCCACCCTGCCTTGGCGGGAATCGGCCAGTGTGATAATATAATAATGTAATATAATAAGAGACATAGCAGTACAGTACTGTATACAGGTTTATCTTTACATTCTTTTTTGTGTGTGTGTGTTATGTATGAAGCTGAGTTTGAAATTAAAAGTGTTTTGGGGACATAATAGGGTTTAAACTATAAAAATAGGCATTTATAGGCATTTTTTTAACCACATCCAGAATTCGTGGTTTTTCCAAATTCATGGGTGGTCTTGGAACGTAACCCCTGAAAATTTGGGGGAAATACTGTATTTCAGAATAAGTCTATTTGTTGTTTTGTGTATTTAAGAGCTTACTAAAATGAGGAAGCCATTTTGTGATGAGTTGTGATTTGTAATGTTAGAAGACTGAATCTTAGTGGTGATGGCTTGGCCACAAATGATTACCCATTACAACATGCAACTTTGGCTCTCATTTCTCTACACTGAAGGTCTTATTACTTGGCTGGTCATACCAAGCATATGGGGGTTTACTATCCTTAATTTAAATAAAAAGTTAACCTACATTTAATTAACTTAACCTGTGGTTCAAGTAATGCTTTCCTTCCATTCTCAAACTGTCACTTTTCTGTTTTAGACTTGTGCGCATTCTTCCTTGATTATTTCCAAACTCACTCTACTTCTACTTCTGTATACATAGATGGCTTGATCACGTGATCCATTACTGGCTGTTGCTTAGCTGGTATTTTCAGTGTAATGCATGCATGACTACTTCACATAATAGTCAGTTTTAACTCTACTTGAAACTGTGCATAATTTTTACTATTATTACTATGATATTCATTCCTTTCCCTTAAATTTAGTCATATTCAATCAAAACAATTTCTAATTCCAACATGAATCCTACCTATGCTAATTGCTTTAGATTATTATTATAAAAAAAGAAGTGCTTAACCCACAAGAATCATATAGTGCTGCCGGGAAGGGAAGGATGTAGGAGTATTGGGTAGCAAGAGGGAGAGGGATGATTAGGTCATGGAGTGCATCGGGGCAGTGGATAGTGCAAATTGAGGTAGAAAGGGCTGTGAGGAGTACTAGAGGCATCATTATCATCAGAGTTTGTGCATTAAATCAGCTGCTGTCAAAACATCAATGAGAGAGTCTGGGTTAAAGGAGGGTCCATCATCAAGAAGGGAAGGTAAAGTAAGGGCAGTAGAGCGGTGACGACGACGGAGGTAAATTCTGCGTGCTCGTTGATATAATTGCTTTAGAGCCTCTTATTATACTTTTTCAGATGTATCATACCAGGTGAATGCAGTTAGGTAGCACTTGCATCTTTCTGTTAAAAAAATAGAAGATTGAACTTCCACTCCTTGTGCTGAACTGACTCCCTTGGCTTCACTGATTTGCATAGACTAATAATAAAATCCATCAAGTGTATTACAAACACTTTTAAAAAAAAGTTAGACCTGTTGAAGGTGACTGTAAAACCATGGAGTATTTTGACATGGGTCTAACCACCCTTCACTAGTCTCTCCCTCCCTGCTCCCCCAAAATAGATATTTCTAGAGGGGAAAAAGATATAAAACATTATAGACAGACTGATGTATTTGTGAGGTCAGTTGTCTTGTGGTGCATTTATAAGATAGCAAAATCAAGATACATAATTGCTCAACAACAATTTAGTTTTTCTCTCTTTGACAGTTTAGGGTGTGGATATGGAGAGGGCTTACAACTGAACTATTTGTGAAGCTTCAGCTAACACTATAAACCTGTGATTTGATTATAATAATATAAACCTGTGACTCTGGAAGAGCTTACATAAACTGTTGCAAAATGTTAGGGAGTAAAGTCTGAAGGGAAATTATTTTTATACAGTGAGCTGAATGATGAGTAGGTTGTGATAGTGAAGTGCACACTTTTGAGGTAAATTTAAAAAATTAAAGCTAAATGAAAGGAGTACTTGGTTGACAGCTGAAAGGATGCTGATATCTTTAGAACCTCCACTATCCCAAGACCAAGTATAAATAGTATCACAGTACTTAAAATCAATTGTAATTTTAGGCAAGAATATCAGGAAGTGGGAAAGTTACCATTAACATTGTGATGTTGCATTGGTTGACTTTGCAATAAAATGGGATATAAAAGATAATTCATTAACTGTAGTAAATGTTCTTTCAAAATTGTATGGCTGCAGCATTAATAACAGGTGTGAGCTTTATTTTTTCACAGCTGATTAATGCAGTAATTGTGTGGTCACTTACCATACCTTCTTTCCTTTTGTTTTGAGGTACATTATTTTGTGTGAATGATAGCCTGTTGAAAGGTTTCAGTGAAATGTTGATATAGACTTACGCTTACTGAACACACTATTTTATATTTGCTTTTTGATAATACATTTGGATTTAAATTAAATGTAAAATATATTTGATGATTTTTGCTGTGCCAGTTGGATAGTGAGGTAATATTTGTATTTAGAGAACAGGCAAGGAGGAAAAATATATTTGTTAGCTTCTGGCAGTTTATAACATACTACAACAGTGTTAAGAGATTGACCGAACACGGACACCCCTCACTACTTTTACAAACAGTACTACTTAAGACATGCACAAGAGCCTATTGACTAGGTTTTTATGGATTCAAATTTTGGTATGTACTTATGAAGAGTTATCAATTAGTATAATAGTTTAGCTACTGAATTGACATTTTGTTTTTAACTTAGGATGTAATTGTAAGGGAGATGTTTATATCAAAGCTGTGATATTAATTAGTTTGTAGCATTCATACAAACTTTTAATATTTATCAAATACATTCATCAAATAAAATATTTTGTTTCACTTGTCTATAATTTACTCAGTTAAGGTTTTGAACGTGTTGTATAAAATATGCAAAAAAAAAAAATGGTTACTTTGTTTGTGAGATTCTGTTTATAGAGGAATGAACTATGCTCTTAGACCTTTCAGTATTGGCATCTACATACCAGTGAATTGAAATTCAGCCTATCTTCCCTCTCTTCAATTGAATTGAACCCGATTCCATACCATTCCCTTAGCCACTATGATTATGGGTTTAGCAGTCTCCCATGAATGTAATATGCTCCTTGTGTCCTGTCTTCATTTAATTTGGGTTTATTGCTTAATTTGCTGCTAAAAATATTCCTTGTCTATTTTCTGGTATCACTGTGGGAGCATAACTGTCCTTGTTATGCCTCTTACTCCTATCTACTAGGTCATTCCCAGATTATTATAATAAAAAAGAAGCGCTAAACCTACAAGGGTTATACAGCGCAGCAGGGAAGGGTGCAGGGGTATTGGGTAGCAAGAGGGAGAGGGATGATTATTAGGTCATGGAGTGCAGGGGGGTAGTGAATAGTGCAGGGGTAGAGGGTAGAGGTAGAAAGGGCTGTGAGGAGTGCTAGAGGCATCATCATCAGAGTGTGTGCAGTAAATCAGTTGCTGTCAAAAAGTCAATGAGAGTGTCTGGGTTAAAGGAGGGTCCATCAGCAAGAATGGAAGGTAGAGTAGAGTGGTGACGACGGAGGTAAATTCTGCATGCTCGTTCATAGTGGGCAGTCCAACAAAATATGGCTAACAGAAACTGGAACCTGACAATTCTCAGAGTGGAACAGGGCACCTCTCCATGAGATACCTTTGAGTAAGACGAGTGTGGCCGATGCGAAGACAGGAGAGAGTAGTAGTCTCCCAACGTCGACACTGATGACAAGAAGATGGCCAGAAACCTGTACTTAGTTTAAGAGGATGTAATTTTTATAGCAGATCAGACCAACATTGTTGCCAACGGGTGTGAAGGTGGGTAGCAACTACAGCAAAATAGTCTGTGAATGGAACACCACTATATGAAACTGGGAGGTCATGTACTGCTGACTGGGCCATTCCCAGAGCCTCCAACATTTCTTCATAATTCCTATTTCTTAACTGCTATCCATCTTTGTTTTGGCAACAACGTTGGTCTACCCTACCCAGTGCCGAGGTTGGGAGACTACTCTCTCCCGTCTCCGCATTGGCCATACTTGTCTTACTCATGGATATCTCATGGAGAGGCGCCCTGCTCCTCTCTGTGAGAATTGTCAGGTTCCATTATCGGTCATCCACATTCTGTTAGACTGCCCACTTTATCAACGAGCACGCAGAATTTACCTCCAACGTCGTCTTCGCTCCGCTGCTCTCTCTCTACCTCTTTACTTTCCCTTCTCGCTGATGGACCCACCTTTCATCCGGACACTCTCATTGACTTTTTGTCAACAACTGACTTACTTCACAAACTCTGATGATACCTTCAGCCTTTTCTACCTCGATCTCTTGCTACCCTCTACCCTGCACTATCCCCTGCCCCGCTGTTTTCTGTAACCTACTGATCGCTCCTCCCCCCTTCTGCCGCCCAATACCCTCGCTTCCTTTCCTACCCTTCAGCGCTGTATAGCCCTTGTGGCTTAGCGCTTCTTTTTTATTATAATAATAATCTCTGTTTTAGAACATAAGAAAGGAGGAACACTGCAACAGGCCTGTTGGCCCATACTAGGCAGGTCCTTTACAATTCATCCCACTAACAAACATCTGACCAACCCAATTTTCAGTGCTACCCAAGAAATAAGCTCTGATGTGCAAGTCCCACTCAAATCCAACCCCTCCCACTCATGTACTTATCCAACCTAAATTGGCTTTTCTGTTTGTATATTTTTCAGATGTTGACCCCAGACTGCAGCTGCATGTTACAATTTTAGTCAAACATGTTGCTAGTTTTGTTGGAAAGTATACAAAAATTGTCACTGAACCAAATTACCCCTTAGAGAGGCTCCTTCACTCCTGAAGGGCTCTTGATCCAAGGAATTGGACCTGACTTGGACCTTGGATCAAACTTGATTACCTCTCATTTCCACCCCCTGGCACATCATGAGCATTTCTGGCTTAAAGATCCCTCTCAGGAATGTAATAATGAACTTGATTGCAGCAGTGATTACTGAACTAGGTGTACAACTAGTATACTACTGTACCTTGAATCTTTCAGCTACAAAGACAGTTGCAGAAATTCTTAAAGAACAAAACAGATGGATGGATAATATTTTAGATTTTAAGGCTTTTTTTTTTAGTTATTCACAAAACAGTACTTAGAGAAACTGCAAAATACTTTTGAAAATGCTGGTGCCCTGATGATGATTTCATCCAAGGAACTAGATTTGTCCAAACCTTTTGATTAAAACATAGACCACCAGCTTTCGCACTTCCAATTATTGCGTTTGTTTGCAATTGTTTTGTATCCAGTTCCAGATTTTGCTCTGCAGGTTTTCCACCTTTCACAGCGACTCTGTTTCCACCTTGTTCTCTGAAGTGGTCAGTCATCATGGTGGCACAGGCAGGCCAGTTCCCCTCCCAAGCTCCTTAGGCCTCTTGTTTCATGGTAGGTATAGTGTAGCTTTGTTCACACCCATCCCCTCGCCCTCCCATCCATGCCACTACAGTTGCCTTGCGGACTTGTACCCTGCAACTTCTTATGTTATCATGCTATTTCTGATCTTTTTATAACCATGAAACTATACCTCTAGGGAAGAAAAGAGAGAACAGATACGTTTAAAAGTGATGTACATGTGGTTGATGCAGCCAAGGCCTATGGGGTGAGGGACTCAACAATTCATTTAGTGAGATAAGAGCTCATATGATGAGCCATCCAAATTGTAACATGTTGAAAAAATGGGGAAAGTGGTAACTAAAACTGAAAAAATGCTGAAAGACTTGATTCAGGAGAAAAAGAAATGTGCATCACTTTATTTCCTTGCTATAAAAGTGTATTATCAGGAAGGAATACCTGCAAATGAGTATATCTTGAGTCAAAGATGGTATAATCACTAGCATGTAATAAGCTTCTTTATGTAAAGTTCAGTGGGGAGAGTGCCTCTGCTGACCACACACAAAATTTTCTGGCAAAATTGCTGGAAATTATAGCTGAGGGTGGCTATGGACCTGAGCAAGTGTTTAATGCTGATGACACAGGATTGTTCTGGAAGATGACGACTAGAACTTGCATCAACAAGCAAGAAAAAAGTGCTCTTGGATTCAAGGCAGCAAAGGATAGTTTTTTCTGCTGTGCACTAATGCAACAGGTGACTGAGTGAAGACCCCATGCTTGTTTATCGCTCAAAGAATCCCCTTGCTTTAACACTTTGACTCTTTTGGTCGTATATATACAGTGGAACCTCTACTTGCGAGCGTGTCCATGTGCAAGTTTTTCCAAATACGAGCAGTCGATGGGTCAATTTTTTGCTTCCATACGTGAGCAAAATTTCCACAAGCGAGCAGACCTCAAGACAGGTTCCTTGACACTGGTGAGAAGCTCTTGCTCTTGATCTCAGGAATTGTATCTCATTTGTTTGTTGGACTATCTTATTGAAACTTGGGCAATGTATGATGGAAAGATGCTTCTTAACATACACCAAAAATGAAAGAAATCTAAGCATAAATAATGGAGTTCACTTTTCAGCAATTAGCCACTCCTTAGCGGTAATTTCGAATGGTTTTTATGGGTATTCTCATTTGTTTGGTCTCATTTGATAGAATGGAAGACATATTACAGAAATAGATATGATTTTAATTGCTTTCACGACGAAAAGTACCTTGAAACAGAGCTCGACCTAGGAGAAATGGTCCATTGCTTGGCTGTTTCTTGAGTAAACAACTGTCCATTCCAATATGCAGTCGTGAATGGGTTGACATTATTTATACAATTATTGCAATAAGAAATAACAGTAAAGCTTATATTTGTGTGAACAAAAATTACAAATTATTTATATAATAATAATAATAATAATAATAATGAAAGAAATCTAAGAACAAATAATGGAGTTCACTTCTCAGCAATTAGCCACCCCTTAGCGGTAATTTTGAATGGTTTTTATGGTTGTATTCTCGTTTTTTTGGTCTCATTTGATAGAATGGAAAATATATTACAGAAATAGATATGATTTTGATTGCTTTCACGACGAAAAGTGCCTTGAAATTGAGCTCAACCTAGGACAAATGGTCAATTGCTTGGCTGTTTCAGAGTAAACAAATGACATCACTGTCCATTCCAATATGCAATCATGAATGGGTTGACATTATTTATACAATTATTGCAATAAGGGAATAACAGTAAATCTTATATTTTTTGTGTGGAATAAAAATTACAAATTTATATAATAATAATAATATGTATAATAGTAGTATAATATAATAATAATATGTATAATAATAATACATATATAATAATAATAATGTACTACATATAACAATTATAATAGACGGCTTCAAAAGGCCGTCACTAGATGGCAGTGTTTACTAAAACAAAGAGGAAGCGGTTGTGGCCGCCTCCACCTGTTACATAATGACATATTTTATTCATTTTAGAGTATATATCATGTTTCTATGTTATTTTTATTGTTTGTTGTGTCATTACATGAACTGTGATATATAAATAAGCCGTATAGATATTAGCGAAATTATTCATGAAGTATTTTGCCCGGTCTCCAGACAAACTCTCGTCCACCGCCCATACCACTACATGAATTGACATATTTTATTCATTCTAGAGTAAATATCAGGTTTGTATGTTATTTATATTGTTTATTATGTCATATTAGATGAAGTGAGATAGATAAATAAGCCGTAGAGTTGATGTTAGCGAAATTACTGAAGTACATAATTCCACTGGAACGGATTAATTGCGTTTCAATTAAATTAAATGAGGAAAATTGACTCTGCAAATGAGCATATCCAGTTGCGAGCAAGGTCATGGAATGGATTAAACTCGCAAGTAGAGGTTCCACTGTGCATCTTACGAGCCACCA